TATATATAATATAATATAGGCAGATATTCAAACAAGTAGTGAGCAATGTTATATAAATGCTTGCAGAGTAACTTAGTCTATCATTAATACTTTCTGAAGCCTCAATTTATACTCAAGTCTTGAAACAATCAGTGCCAATTGATCAAAGGTCAATATTAGACTTAATGATAGTAAAACATTTGGGGAAAACTTAAAATTTTATTTTCTTTCAGATTCTCTTACTGCTGCTTAAACTCTAATTTGAATACCTTCTCCAGAAAAAGGCCACAATTAGAGGAGTAAAAGGGTTTCATGTGGCAGGAGTAAGTAGCACTGTCATATCCCATCAATCCTCTAAGCACCTACTCTCAGGGAACATTCACTGCACTATCTTGTGCCAACTCCTAAAGAGATTTTCCCAAGAAATAAATTTCAGGCAATTTTAATTCCCATCACTACTGTCCATTTGTCATAACTGAAAAAAATCCATTATGTTACAAAAGCCATCAATCCTCTAAGCACCTACTCTCAGGGAACATTCACTGCACTATCTTGTGCCAACTCCAAAAGAGATTTTCCCAAGAAATAAATTTCAGGCAATTTTAATTCCCATCACTACTGTCCATTTGTCATAACTGAAAAAAATCCATTATGTTACAAAAGGATTCTGTTATCCAGTATTTGTTAATTATGATTGAGACCAGAAACATACACAGTTTCAAAGAAAACAATTGAAGGGAACATCTGAAAGTAATTTCCCCCCATTCTTTGTTGTTCTACTACTCACGGCAAATCTTCTAAACTGGAGGCTTCATGTCTTGGATCCAATAGATCATAACCACATTCATTGTAGATTTCCAAATAGGAAATGCGTGTTGTATATATTTTGCTGCTGTCCTGATTGGAAAAGGGAAAGACATTATTTAATGGCTATAAATAGTGATTCAGCTTAGAGGAAGATGAACACATTTATTACTACAGTTTCCTCACAGTTTCTCTCCTTTTCTCTTTCACTTTATATGGTTTACATTTTCAGTTCGTGACACTTTCAAGTTGCCAGTTGCCATATGCATGAAACTTTTTTTTCTAATGGCCAACACCCATGATTACAAGCAACTTCAGTCTGTTATTTTTTATTGGCTCCACATTATACAGAAAAAGTCAATATATACTTATAACAAGCCAACTTGGTTGCAGAAATACATAACACACCACTTTACTTTCCAGACCCCCCTAAAAAACTACTAAGAAAATATAACTTACATTCTGTGAATAATCTATTCATAAAAGAACACAGATCATTACTTAAGTTTAAAAACTTCAGTTGCAAGATTGATTCCATCTTTAATCATAATTTTAAAAATTTTTTCTAATATTCAAAATTTTCTGAGGACATAAATACATAACAATGAAAATGAGTTCCAGGGGACATAAAATAGTTTATATCAGTCAGGTAAGTGTGGACATTAACATTTCACTGCCTATATCTCACTCGTAGGGTTAATTTTCCTGGCCTAAGTGAGAAAAATCAGAGATATTCAACTATTAGTTCAGGAAGATTATTGGCTTCCTGATCGATTCTCAATATATCCAATTGAATAAATATAATAAAATCCATTTAACAGATGTTGTTCTAGGGGAGAGAGAACCAAGTTACAGAGATAGGGGAGAGAATAGTGGCCTGCAAATTAAAAGCTGGACTCCTACTCCAACTAGCTGTGAGCCCCTACCATGTCAGGCCTCTGTTTTCACACTTTAATGAGTGAGGCAGTTGGATAATGAATCCCTACATGTTCTACATTTTAAAATTAACATGATCGTCAGTCCTAAAATGGCTCAAACTATCCAAATAAAGATACAATCATCTTATAAAAACAAAATACATGAAAAAATTAAGGCAACTCTCAGCCAGCACATGACTATAATAAAAACACTCAAGCTACAACTGAAATTGCATGTTCTGGTGTTCTGTGAAAGCAACAACATGAACTGAATCTGTACTAAGCAAATCGCTCTCAACCAATTGCTGGAAATGCTGCTGATGTGAGTGACTTTAACGGGTACCCTGACAAATGGCCTATTGAATACATTAGTATCCTAGTTTAGTAAAGGCACCATTGCAACATAATTCTTTGGATTGTAGCTTGGCTTAACACAGGTATCAGAGACTTCAAACACTAACAGACTCTGTGTGGCCATTAGTTAATCCAGGGCTTCCTAAAGTATTCCATGAAATACTCCTGAGTAAAAGGGTTTCATGGTCACTCTCTGCCCCCTCTCTGGAAGATTCTCAGAGCATGTTAAAAGCCCTGGGAGATCCTTCAGCACCATTCTGAGATCCTGTTGAGATCAATATATTTCTACAACTTATCTGAACATATCTAAAATATCCCAGAGATTATGATTTGAGATTTTAGCATACAGTTCTGAGATCTTCTTACAACTGGACAGAACTGGGCTCGAGTATTGATCTGCCATTTACAACTGTGTGATCCCACATCCTTACTATTGTTTCACCACCAAAATGGGGGTAATAACCCTGTTCTTGCAGAAATGTGTGACAGAGAAGTAAGGTTCTATATTTAAGATCTCACCAAAAATGAGAGGCTCGTAACAGGCACCAACAAATCATTGTTGCTGCTGCTGCTGCTATGGTTATTGCTGTTACTATTGTTTTTTATTATTATTTCTAAAAACTTCCAAATGGAGAATTAAGTATGTGAATATAAAAGGAAAGGAAAAGAAAAGCAAAAATAATAGCCAACTTTTATGTTCCTCTGCAGTGGAGAAACTCTCTTCTTCCAGAAATAAGCATAAATCATAAAAAGGCAGGAAAGTGACAAGTCCACTGCCCTGAGACGATAGGGATAATGCCTTAGACTCCTCCAGCGTCTGCATTTTCTGAACTTTTATTGGAATACAAACTTAAAATTCACTAAGTTATGTGGCAAGCTACCTTTCCTTATTACTCCTCTTTGGTGTTTAGGATTGCCAGACTGTAATGTAACACACATGTTTCCTGCAGACAGCCTTCTTTCCTGCCCCCAAACAAGCTTGAACCTCACAATACTCAAAAATAATGAGCAGCGATTTCTAAAATAAGTGGACTCAATTTTCGTCTCTTAAAAATTGGTGATAATGTGCTTCCATCACACTCACAGGCATTTCAGGATCCAGTATACACTGGGCTCTTAGTTTATCTTAAAATAAAGACTTTGTACAGGTCAAATGTTTCCTTTAAGAATTCTAGAGAGCTCCATGTGGCCCTCTAAGGCAATTAGCTGGGGACCTCTGAGTACCAGTCTGCATTTTTCATCTATACAATGTGGATAAACATTACAATGTACTTCAATCTGACTGACTTATTTTACCACAGTTCAGTTTGATTATAATGAGTGTGTTGTGCTCCATCGTGGAAATCTGTCCATTACAAAGAGCTGCCCTGCCTATAAATTGTCTATGGGCTCTCTGCAAGTCTAGGAAGTTATTTAAGATCATTCAGAATGAAATGGGGTTTAGACTTATGTCAATGACAAACAGATCTAAAATAATGAACCTAACAGATGTTAAGTACTTGGGAGACATTCAGACTTTTAGAGCTGTTCTTTTGTAACCATAGATGAAATTTTGAAAGGGGCAAAAAATATTTTTCTTTTTAAAATTTTTTATTTAAGTATAAATGATTGTACATATTTGTGGGGTACAAAGTTGACTATCAATAGTTGTGTACAATATGTGATGGTCAGAATTTGTGTATTCTTTTGAACTTAATCAGGGCAATTGGCTTCATTTGTGCTGAGAGTTTCAAAGGGTTCTCTGAAATTGGTCAGTAATCATTTGGCCACATGCATGTAAATGGATATTAATGACTGTGCTAATAACTATCATGTACTGAGCATGTACTGTGTACCAGGAACTAGACAGTATCTTTAAATATAGTATGTTTGGCTTCTCACAGCAACTCTGTGAGACAATAATAATTGACCCAAGGCCACATGCTATTTCAGAACCAGGTTAGCCTACACCAACTACAATGGTCTTTTCAAGACAATAGGCTTCCACATTAGGTCACAGCAACAAAAACTATTAAAAATTATGATCCCAGTTTGTGAAATGTGGAAACCAAACAAAATAGGTAAAGGAGTAAGTGAAAAGAAGGGCTTCGGATCTAACATATACTCTATACTCAACCCCTTTTCTTCCAAATGCTCTGGCATGCAGAGTAGGCATGTTTGTGCAAATGAGAGATGAGCTGAACTAATGGATAATTGCTACTTTATGGATGGCAATTAGAATTATGCAGATCTCAGCAATTCTTCTCATCTCTGCAACTCAAAATGCAAATAGAATTCAGTCGAGAAATTTTGAAGTGACTGTTCCATTGACCTAGTTAGGATGTTATAGAGAATTAATACAACCAACAAATGGTTGAAACTAGTAGAGATGGTGGAGATCTTTTAGTACAATTCAGTCTCTACTCTCACAGAGCGGAAACCTGAAACCCAGGAAATGACTCAGTACAGGGAATTTGTTTAAACACAACCAACAAAATAAAGCCGGTCTGAAGTATAGAGGCAGTACATGTAGTGGAGTTTGGCATAAGACAGACCTGGGATGGAACTCCAGATCAGGTACTTATCAGATGTGGACCCAGAAAAATATATTTAACCTAAGGCTCAGTTTTCTCAACTATAAAAGAGGGATAAGGATACCTACTTTGTTAGTTGCATTATATGTTGTATTAAACACTGATATAGCAATAGGCACATGGAGGCACTCAATAAATGATACATATAATATAAATAGGGAACCGTTCTTTACAAGATTGTTAACTGCAATGAGATTTGCTGTGGTAAATTCCTATAGGCTTCTATTAAAAGTGTAAAAACGCAATAATCATATTATCCTAATCAGTGCTTTAGTAGCTAAAAGAAAGGTCTGTTCTGGCAAAAAGACATTCCTCAGTTTCTTAATGAGAAATATAAGATATTAGTTAGTAAAAGGTGTTATCTGCTCTTTTAACTTCTGTGGGCGCATCAGAAGGAACTCCCGTTGAGTTTCTGCCGAAATAGAGCCCTTTAACAAGAAATACCTTCTTAATTTCCACTTCTCCAGCAAAATCCCAACCTTTCCCTAAATGTAAAGGCTGGAGTTATTATACAATAACACTTTCTCGTTTGGACATAATGTAATAAAATGTCACAATAAATTTTCTGCCCACAGTAAATTTCTACCGGATGTGTCAAATACAAAATGAATTTAGTTTCATACCTTTTGTAATTGCTCAAAAATGTGTGACAGCGTCCTTGGGATAACACCTCTGTCACTATAACGCTCTGCCCCACCTGTGATGGTGAATGTCTTACCGCTGCCTGTTTGCCCATAGGCAAAGATGGTACCATTGTAACCTGCCAAGACACTGCAATAAAGAAGTGCACACTTTTAACACCAGAATGGCTAACTACATTTGTATTAGGTAGCTCATATTATAACAGTAACCTTACTAAACACTATTAAAAAGACATTTATAGAAATATTATATTTATATATGTGAATATCTAGCTAGAATTTACATTTTTATCCAAGAATATTAGTACATCAATCCTATAATTCAAATGGAGTCCAGTCATCTTAAATATTTTATTCACCTTTAGTATACTGGACTTGAATCAAAGAGTAGAGTATGTTAAAAAATAAAAAGTCCAGAGGAAAAACCACCTGTAATTTGGCAAACTGTCGACCTGACAACTGGAACCTCACTTGGTGAATACTCACAACAGTAGTCACTTCCTAGAACACCAGGTACATGCTCTGTTTGCCAGTATGGACCATGTAATCTAATTCACTACTTAATACTCAGCACCACCTGAAAATCCTGTAGCAATTCCCCTCCTCTCATTTCTTGGAATGACTTTTTGGTAGAAGATGCTGGTCCATATGTGTTCTTCAGCCCTGCAGAACAGTCCTGGATTTGGTGATGGTCTCAAGAACCCTGGATCTTCTCAGCCTTTGTAGACCACCACCTGCAGTACAGGCTTTTAACAATGTGCATGACATGATGCAGACTTTCAAAAGTGGGTCTTTTATCTATGCTACATGGAACAGTAAACTATTGCAGCTTTACTTTCTTGTTACGAGTGGCTCCTTGATCTCTGGATATTTTCATCAAATCAGCTATGATGTCAGCTAATGGTACCCACATTGTGAGTGAACTTTTTGATAGATGGCTCCTCTGAGATCACCCCTCACTGTTTACGTTGGGATTCCTGCTCTACTACCTCTGCTGAGATCCTGTCCACATTTCTCTCTCTGCCTCTATTTCATACCTGCATGCTATGTGACCTGTCATCATGATGCCCCCTCAGAACAGACAGGTTTTGCCTAGAGCTTATTTGCAAGTGGTCAATTAAGTCCTCAGTACCTTATATGACTATTAACCTAACAATGATATCTTCAGCAACAAACTAATGCATCTTTTGCTATGTAAGTAGAAGGTGTTATTGGTGCTTACAAACTTAAAGGACTTAATACAGGAAGTGAGCAAAAAATTATTATGACCATGTGGTTCAATTTTCTACTTTTGAGAAACTTAATCATTTTTCTTCATATGTCTTTAGATAGAGATAATATACTGTTAAAACTCTCAGGGTTCAATTTTCTACTTTTGAGAAACTTAATCATTTTTCTTCATATGTCTTTAGATAGAGATGATATACTGTTAAAACTCTCAGCTTGGGGCCGGCCCGGTGGCGCACTGGATAAGTGCGCCGCTTGGGAAGCGCGGCGGCGCTCCCGCCCGAGGGTTCGGATCCCACATGCAGACCGGTTCCTGCTCACTGGCTGAGCGAGGCGCGGGAGCAACGCCGAGGGTTGCAATCCCGTTGCCGGTCCCCGGTCCAGTACGGGGGCAACACTGAGGGTTGCGATCCGTTGCCGGACACGGAAAAAGACAAAAGACAAAAAAAAAAAAACTCTCAGCTTGTAAGATATTGGAATTACAGTGGTGACTTTAAGTGGGTGATTATATAATCTTTTTCCTCAACAGAAATTGTCACCAATGAAAGAGCAATGTCCCATTAGCAATATCATTTGGATATATGGTATTTGTTGGCCATAAATTCTCTAGGTAAATGAGGTATATAACTTTAAGTATCAAACCTTAAACGTGTTATTGATTCTTGATAGAAAACTTTATAAAATATATGAGACATTTTCTGTCTTGAAAAGCAAGTAATACAGAACACAAATTAACATTTTCATTTTTACATAAATATAACTTATGAAAAGTGAGTACTATAGCACGCTATGTTAGTACCCACCGATTGTTATGTCTACTTTTTTATACTTAAATCTTCTTTCTCACTGCCAGTTGTCCTGGTACATCTGCCTCTAACATGCACTTTCCCTACCCCATCTGCTGTGGGTTGGAAAACCAGATGGCACAGCTACAAAGAACACTGTGTAAAATAATAAGCATATAGGCTCCACTTATACAGACTCCCATGGCTATTTACTTATTACATTGCTACAATTAAAAATTAAGTAAAGGAAGGTAAACAGGCAAAATTTGTCTCCAGTTATTTTCTGTAGAGCTCCCATCCCAACTCAATCTTGTGTCCACTCTTCATTAGGCACTAGGCATTTTCATGTGCTTCTAGTCTCATCTGTCCTAAGGGAAAATACTAATTAAAAATAAAGAAAGAGAAATGGTGGTGTAAAGACCTATGAAAATCCGTTCTTCCACAAGAACAATGACATCAGTGGCAAAAATTGTCAAAATCAACTTTTTCTGAACTCTGGAAATTATCCAAAGGCTCACAATAATCCAAAAAGTGCTTAATCAAGAAATATGGCTGAAACTTAGTAGGAACAGTGAGCTTTGTTGCATTTTAACTTAAACATTTGAGCTCCCTTTCCCCAGCTCCAAAGTAGCCTTAAAAAAACAACAGCCTTGAAATCATAGGATCTGTGAAAACCAGCAGCAGAGCAACCACTGGAGGCCGCAATGCAGGTTTGGAGTACCTCAAAAACCAAGGCCCAATCTCTAAAGAACTGTCATTTTCTGACATGCCTGGCAGCTTCTTAGAAAGGCTCTCTGCACAGTGTTTGTCTTTGTTTGGCCTGACTCAGAGCTCACCCTATTATGAGGGTGTCTGTTGAAAATAATCAGTGGCAATTGTTTAACATCACAGCTGCCTGAGGGTGCAATACCAGAGAAGTAAAGAAGATGGTGACCAAAACCTTAAAAGAAAAAAATTTGTGGAATAAGATGTTTATAAGGGGTTTTGAAAAGCTCTGACATATTCCCGGGACTATAGGACACACACATGTGCAAGGCTGTGTGAATGCCCAGAAGAGACTTGAAAAGGTCATTATATTACAACTCAGGCTGGCCTTGAGACTGCACAAGAAAGAAGTTAGAGAAAAGGCAGAATTATAAACTCCAAAAGCATTGAAGGTGTGCCCCAACACACATGCTGAAGCCCTCATGTGTAGGCTGGGAGACTGATGGATTTGAGGCATTTAAGGAAATCTCTGTCCAGTCACTAGTGGACCACTAGGCAAATTGAGCAGAGATTTCAGAGGCTGCACATGACAGAGATACAGACATTATAGAATTAGTCCAGAAAAGTCACTATACAAGTAGCAGCAGCAACAACAATAACAAACAAACAACACAAACCCTGGGGAGGGTAGGAATCTGATTTCAAGACATGGCATGTTACAATATTTAAAATGTCCAGTTTTCAACAAAATAATTATTAGACACACAAAAGAATAAGAAAGTATTGCCCATTCACAGAAAATATTTAATAGAAACAGTCCTTGAAGAAGCCCAGATGTTGTTGTACTAGACAAAGAGTTTAAATTAGCTATTGTAAATATGTTCAGAGAACAAAAGTAAAGCATGTTTAGAGAATTAAAAGAACATATGAAAATGATGTCTCGTAAAATGAAGAATACCAATAAAAAGATAAAATTTATTTTAAAAGGTCCAAACGTAGATTCTGGGATTGAAAAGTAAAATAACCAAAATAAAAAATTCACTCCAACAGTAAATTTGCACTGTTAGAAGAAAGAATCAGTGAACTTCAAGACAGGTCAATTGAAATTATCCAGTCTGAGGAACAGAAAGAAAAAAAGAATAAAGAAAAATAAGCAAAGACCTCAGAGACCAATATATGCATAACGGGAGTCCTCGAAGAAAAGGGGAGAGAGTATTTAAAGAAATAATGACCAAAAACTTCCCAAATTTACTGAAAAACCTTAATCTACATACCTAAGAAGCTCAATAAACTCCAGGTAGGATAAACAGAAAGATATCCAAACCAAGACACATCACAATTAAAATGTTTAAAGACAAAGAAAATCTTGAAAGTAGCAAGAGAGAACTGACTGATCAAACACAAGGAATCCTCAACAAGAATAGCAGTGGATTTCTCCTCAGGCACCATGAAGGCCAGAAGGTAAAGGGATAACATATTCAAAATGCTAAACAAATAAGTCTGGTTTGGACATCTCTCTTTGCAGAAATTGACAAGCTTCTCCTAAAATATATATTTCAGTTTTGTTTTCAGATTGTTCATTGCTACTATGTAGAAACACATTTAATTTTTGTATCCTGATCTTGTACCTTGCAAACTTATTAAACTTGTTTATCAGTTCTAAAAATTTTATGGGATTTCTTAGGATTTTCTATGAAATCAGGACATCTACAAATAGAGATAGTTTTACTTATTCCTTTAAAACACATTTAATTTTTGTATCCTGATCTTGTACCTTGCAAACTTATTAAACTTGTTTATCACTTCTAAAAATTTTATGGGATTTCTTAGGATTTTCTATGAAATCAGGACATCTACAAATAGAGATAGTTTTACTTATTCCTTTACAATCTGCATGTCTTTTGTTTCATTTTCTTGACTAAATTCACTGGCTAGTTTGCTAGTGAAAAATTCTGTTTTAATCTGGGAATGTCATAATTTCTCCTTCATTTTTGAAAGTTAATTTTACCAGATATAGAATTCTCTATTTGCAGAAGACATGATCTTGTACATAAAACATCCTAAGGAGTACACTATAAAAGCATTGGAATTAATTAACAAGTTCAGCAAGACTTAATATTGTTAAGACAACAGTATTTCCCAGCTAATTGGCATTCATTCAATCTCTACCAAAATCTGAGCTGATTTATTTGCAGAAATTGACAAGATTATCCTAAAATTTATATGGGATTTCAAGGGACCCAAACAATCATGAAAAAGAACAAAGGAGGAAGATTCAAACATCCCAATTTGAAAATCTACTACAAAGCTAGAGTAATTAAAACAGTGGGATACTGGCATAAGGATAAACATATGGATTGAAAGAATAGAACTGAGGATCTAGAAATAGACCCTTACATTTATGATCAGTTGA